CATACACTATTGAAATTATAGAGATAATAAATAATAAAATTAAAAGGCTTTACATTAATTGCTAAATTTTATTTATATATTAAAATACTTATTTTTACCTAATTAAAAATTTTTATTTTTAAGAAATAAAAAGGTGCTCAATTTCTTTTTGTAAATTTCTTTTGTTCGCATTTGTATTTCTTTTGTTAAATAAAAACTTTACATTCCACGTTTTCGCTGATACAGCGAATATTAACAAAAACATAAAAGAAACACAAAAATATGTTAAACGAGAAAAAATATTTATATTTGTAGTTCTTGTCTGTTATACTTTTTAGGCAGATGAATATGCATGTATATGCAAAGACATAGAAAGTCACGAAGATATAGTATACACCAAAAATATTTCAGATATATAAAGTAAATTTGTTGTTATTTATTTTGTAAATATACAATAAGCGAGAGCACAAATCGAAAGAATTAAAGAATTTAGCAAATATTTATTTTAGTCCGTCAAATATATTAAGTTGAAAAAATGCAATCTTCAGCTTTTTCAGGCTTTCTTCTATTAATAAAATATACTTTATTATTCATACATTCTTAATCTACAATGTAACGTTCAGTAGCGTTGCATAGTAACAATACCGTGTAATGTTCATTACACAGTACTCAGTGTAATTAAAAATTATAATGTTTGAACAATAATAATAAAAATATAATTTTTTGTTTAAAAAATTATTATCAGTAATTTCATAGTGTAGCATAAGCTTATATTGCTTATTATAATATAATTTATTACTTGTTATTATATAATTGATAACAAATTATAAGATTAAAGAAATTTCAAAATAAATAAATATTTATATTCAATATCAAAACATGATTTTGACAGTTATATAATTTATGAAAATTAAAAGCATCTTTGAAACTCTTTAAACTTTCACCTAATTAATTTATTCTTAATATATTTATACTTAATATAATATATTAAAGTATGATTTTCATTAAATTCACGTATCTGATGTTATCTGTAGTTTATTAAGGTTTAGGTTTATTTTTATCGTATATTGGATATTTCATATCACGAAAGACTTTATTCATTTATAAATGTACCAGTGTAATATTTAAATTTTTACAGTTTTTTTTTTTATATGTTTAATTGTAATATAAAAGGTTCGTTTTATTATTCGATAACCAAACATGATTGTGAAAAAAAAAAGAAAATTGAAAGTTAAAATTTAAAAATCATATAAGAATTGATGCGCGTAGTAAGTAGCCAATAGTATACAAATCAGGCAAAAAGTTGGATTAAAATATTTACCGTAATAACAAATAAATAAATAATGTTTAAATTAAGAAGGAAAAAAATGTAGAGTTTTTAGATCAAGATTCATTATAAAATATGCAAAAACTTTTTATGAGAATATTTTCCAAAACTTTATAATAATATCAGTCAAACTTACGAATAAAGCAAATTAAAAAAAAAAAAAAAAAAAAAACAAATAAAACAAATAAAATTACTAGACCTGCTTATAATTATAATTTATGCAGGTTCATAAATTTTATACAGATTTAGAACTATTTGAATCATTTTAATAAATACGTATCATCGTACATACGTACTTAAACATACATATACTAAATACTATACGTATTACATAATAAACATTTTTTAAATATTCACTGTTCCCAATGCAATATTTCCTTCATAAGTTACTTAATAGGAGACAAATTGTATCGAAAAATTAATTCATAATTAATTTAAAATAATGCATAATTTGACAAACATTATTTCAATACTAATACAATTATGTTCTGACTAATTAATGTATTTGTAATAATTTACCTCTCGATTATATTAATAAGATTGCATTATTAAAACTTGGAGCATTACGTGATAAAATACTTACCGCTTCTTCCGACATGTTACTTAAGCCTACACTTTCCTCTTCAAAAAAAAAGCTTTATCGCTAATAGTAAATATCAAATTGAAACGGGCAATTTTATATTTACAATAAATTAAAAATAAATACATTTTTATTTATTGAATTTTCAGTTTTAAGCTTGTTAAGTTTTGGCGCAAAATTTTAATCAATAAGTCTTAAATGGAGTTTTCGATTAATTTTCGATAGTATTCATAATCTCTGAATCAATTAAGCTTTATGAAAACAGAAACTGGTGAGTGATTAACGAATATCCGACACATATTTTTGTTTAAATGTATACGTGTATTAAGAGAAAGTACTCTTCTTTAATATATTTATAATGGATTTAATAAAATTATTTCTTACCCTTTTTCATATCACTAGAATATTTTATACTTTCGATTTTATTAATAGTGATAATTATTTTACCAGATTAAATCTAAAACTAAGAAGACACTTTATTGTCTATGAACTTTTGAATAATATTTGAATACAATGTATTAGAAAATTTATAAAAGGTAATGTTAGTTAGCATATTGTTTCTTTCAATATATAATATACAGAGACAATATTTGCAAGTTTTACGTACGTATAGTTAAATTTTATTTACAGAATTCCAGATTCTTAATGAATTTAAGATATAATTGTACATGCTACCGTAATAAAAAATAAATTATTTATTACCTTATACTACATTTATTGCATAATTGTAGATAAAATAAGTATGTATTATATATAATTCCATTCAAATAACAATATTCATTAGAATTGTAAATTTTCTTAGCACAAGTAAATTAAAGATGATTATTTTCACAAATTTATAAAACATAAATGCAGCATAAAATCTCTGATTCTTGAAAGAAAAAAAAATATTTTAAAGATTCATAACAATATTAGTATAAAACTAATATTGCCTTAACATTTAGAATTGTAACGGCAATGCAATAATATTATAATCATAAGGATTAACATTTAAAAAGTCAAAAAAAAAAAAAAAAATTTATTTACTTATTAAAAAGAAAATTTAGTTATTTATTATTATCTATAATTATTTTAAACGTACTTTTGTATTAAATTAATTATTATATTGATATAAATAAAAGCAATATTATTTGCTCATAAACAACATGTATTCTTAATATTTTAAAAATTTATTTAAATTTCAAATTTAAAAATAATAGAAAAAAAAATTGAATCATTAATTACATAATATATTCTTTTTATATTTTTTCAATGCTATTTTACTAAAATAAATCTTGATTAAAAATATAAAAAATTATTTATTGATATAACGTATACAAATTAACTAAATTATATCAACATTATAAATGTTCATCATGCATTTCCATACACTCAAAGTGTTTCGATACAGGACATTGTTTCCAAAATCAATAAATATTTAAATAGTATCACTCTGTTTTTCCAGACATTGAGTAATGTATACTTTTTTATTCATTAAAAGAAAAAACTTTTATATTGTTCAATTTATACAATCTTTATATATAAATATAAATATGTATAAGCATAAATATACAGAGTTAAAAATAATTGTTAAAATAAATTAACAAAAAAAACTCATTTAGAATTACTATAGTATAATAAAAGTAATCCAAAATGCTTTTATAATTACATCATTAAAAAGTTCAATTATAATTTTAAAAAAAAAAAAAAAAAAAAAAATGACATTAGAACCACATTGTAATTTCAAAATCATGAGTTTAAAAATTAATTATAAAAAACATGAATTTTTTGTACACTATTGCTTTATTAGTATTGTATTTCGTTACATGCATTATGATTGAGTAACATAAAATATGCATTAAATGTGTGATAAATTATAGAATAAATCAATGTTATAAATATTTTATAATATTTTATGAAAATTATTGCTAAAATTTAAAATATAAATGTGTTGAATTATTAATATATGGACATATATATATATATATATATATATATATATATACATACGTACATACACATATATATTTAATATTATAATATTAAAGAAATAATTATTATTAATTCTGTTGAGTTTAAAATGAGTATATAAATTATAAATATTACATACACTGTAATATTACTAATTTGTATATACATTAACATTCATTGTATTTAATACAATAAATCAACATATTGTAATTGGCATTTCTGCTT